ATATATATATTTATATATGTATATGTATGTATATATACTTATATATGTATATCTGAATGTATGTATGCTTTATATATATGCATATATATTACATATATATATGTATGTGCTAATCTTTTATATGTATATGTATATGTAGATATATATTTAGATATATGTATATATATAATCATATATTATATATACATATATATATATATATATATGTGTGTGTGTGTGTGTGTGTATATGTATGTATGTGTGTGTGTGTGTGTGTATATGTATGTATGTATGTATATATGCATGTCTGTATGTATATATATATATATGTATACATATATATATATATATACACACATACATATATACATATACACACACACACACACACACAAACACACACACACACACACATATATATATATATATACACACATACATATATACATATACACACACACACACACACAAACACACACACACACACACAAACACACACACACACACACACGCACACACACACACACACACGCACACACACACACATACACATACATACATACATATACACACACACACACACACATATATATATATATATACATATACAGATATAGATAATATGTATATGTATGTAGCTATATATGTATGCATATATATATATATATACACACATACATATACACACACACACACACACAAACACACACACACACACACATATATATACATACATACATACATATATATTGAATATATTTTACCAGGAAAAAGTTTTCACAAAATTGGAATTTTGATGGAATATTAACTCTAAATACGTTATTTGTACTAATTGTCTCCAGATATTTAGTAGGGCTTTTAGTTGGGAAAAGGAAAACTTTCAAATTATAGATATATGATTTATTTACATTTATGTGTGTGTGTGTGTGTGTATATGTATATATGTATGTGTATGTGTGTGTGTGTGCGTGTGTGTGTGTGTGTGTGTATATGTATGTGTGTGTGTGTGTGTGTGCGTGTGTGTGTGTGTGTGTGCGTGTGTGTGTGTGTGTGTGCATGTGTGTGTGTGTCAGTGTGTGAGAAAGGAATAGGAAAGAAGGTACTGTTGCATATGCTTTTTACTGATTACATATGTCAAACAATGTTATTAAGATTCCAAAGTTTTCTTTTTCAGGATTCGTGACAGATTCATGACCAGAAAAAATCTTCAGAACCTTGACTACATAAATTGTTTAAATGTGTTTGTTGAGTGCCTTGGTTGTAAAATATCATTAACTTCATGGCACTTTTAAAAGTGTAATGCTATTTGTCAGTGTTGATTATGTTTTTGATAGACAGACTGAAACAGGTGAATTGAGTTGTACAAGGATTTTAACATGATAAGAGTAAATATGGTTTCTGTGAGAAAGTAAAGAGAAAGCTTCCAGTTGATCACTTTGTATAAAGTTAAACCATTCGGATTCTTTTAATTTATGAAAATTCTAAAGCTGTGAAAAATAGAGCATTCCAAGCCAGTATGTGAACTTATTTGGGTGCCAGTGTTATTTGTACCACTTACGAACAGTATATGAATATCAGCAAAGAATTAGGACGACGGTGAATTGGAACATTGTTAGACCGCTGAAAGCTGCTACAGAAAGAAGAAACATGGAGTCATTACCAATAGAAGACAACCCAATCCAAGAAGTTTACATCAAAGAAGAAATACCAGATGATGTAAAGGTAAAGTGCCATATTAATCTTATTTTGTAAATATTGATGATTGTTTCAGAAGTGTTCCTGGCTTGTGTTCAGTCTTGTATGTGTTTGATGACATGTATAAAAACTAATGTATGGTTGCATTTTAACAGCAGTATAACAGAAACTGCAGAACTATCAGTAATATGGATAATTAAAGTTTCAGTATTGCTGTTAAAGTAGAAAGTAGCAGTATTAGGTAATGGAATAGAAGTATTAGAGTAATTTTAGTAATAGCCTAATCTCATCTATGTCATTATAATTCTCAGATAGAAGTTAAAGATGAAGAGGAAAGCCTAGATGGATCTACTCCCAGTGGAGATCACATGGAAGGCTCCTGTATCACACACAAATCAGAAAGACTGGACGACACTACTATTGCAGCAGGAGAAGAGCAAGAAAAAGTTGATATTTCCTCTGATGAAGAAAACCCCCGTGTGAGTTTTGCTTTGCATACCATTTTCATTTTTTTTTTCAACCCTTTCACTGATATGGACACTGTTCAACATCCACACCTTGTTACTCCCCAGTGATATGGACTATATTTGATTTCCATTGCATAGTATTTGGAAAACATTCTATTTCTGAATAGTTTCTTAGGATTTGGCAACTCAGGATGGGCTATATCAGAGCTATCAATCAAATCTGATTTTATCAGATTGTGTCACCTTACTTCTATAAAGATTCTGGAAAATGAGTGTGTGTGTGTATGTGTGTGTGTGTGTGTATTTGTGTGTGTGTGTTTAAATATGTGTATATTCATTTTGGAAAATTAGTGTATGTGTGTGTGCGTGTGTGTTTGTCTGCGCATGCATATAGACATATATATAAACATATACAAATACATTCAAACACACACACACACACACTCATATATATATNAACATGCACATTTATTCCACAAGCGTTGTGACAAAATTCGTATTTGCAACCCATTTGTCTCAACAAATAAACAAACACGCAGTCCTCTATCTGGTTCACGTTGCTGCCTGGCTGGTGCTCAACGGACGAGCATCTTCGGCCGGAAGGTAGATCACGACAGACAGAGATAGATGTCATGGGGGTCAGTGGTTGGTGTGGGGTTGATAGGAAGGATAGATAGAGAAGAAAAAGGACTAAATGTGAGAGGGAAAGTGAGCAGAGGAAGAATAGCGAATAATGGAACACGGAAAAAGGGAAGAGTATATTGGAGGAGAGTTAAGAGGTTGAGTGGGTGTGCGGAGGAAGGAGGGGGATGGGGAGGATGGTTACTTACCCAAACTATGGCTTCACACACACATACATACATACTTGATGGAAAACAGACGAGGTCAGCTGGCAAGCCTCTCAGAATGCCTTGGCCGCTGCCTTAGATACAATGAACCCCCACAGAGGGAAACCATGGCTATACTTTGAGCCAGACTTGTCAATGCTATAAAGACGTAACCCTTGCTGACAACAGATTGGTTATTAAGGAAATGCCTTTTAAATCATTAAAAATAAATATTAGAAACCACATAAACGCATATCATATCCGACATATTACTTTTTTTCCTTAATTCATATCTAGACCGACTGATGACTTTAGCTAGAGTCAGAAATACACTAATACCACAGTAAATTATTAACGTTACTAATGTTGTTATATAAAACACTTACACTGATGTCTGGTTCAAGAAAGCTGACAGGCAGTTTATAACATTTGGCGATGTATGAAGAATAACTGAAAACGAAAGGATTACACGAGGAAGCCGTTCCATTGAAGAATCATACTTATACAATTCTGCTGAAAGAGACATTTATTCCAGAAATAATATACCATTGTCCTTTCTAAACCAATAGTTTCGAGAACACTGGCAGTAACATAGTGGTCTTATTATTTTACTGGACGAAACAATGAAAATACTGAATATAGGAAATACAGATTATAACCAACTCTATCACTATAGACAACGGCAGGAATATGACCAGTTTATTAAAACCATAATCACTAGTTACTCATGATGAAAGACAGCAACCGCCTTCATGGGTGCCCGCGTTCGATTCCTGTGTCCTCTTATATGCAGTTTCGTTTCCTCCTTGAATTTATTTGTTCCGATGTAACATTGACAATATGAACAAGGTCTTCATTTTAGAAAGAGATTTATGAAGAATGCCCCCATTTCTCTTTTTTTTTTTTTTTTTGAGTGTTTTTTTCCGTGAACGCAGTAATTTTTTTTTTTATGTTCAGGTATTAGTAATACTTTTATTTCTTATATTCAATGTATTCGTTTAAAACCAATTAGCTTGCTTAATAGCGTTTATATAGCAAAACAATGCGCACTTTACATCACTTCCTGTCCTCTTTTTTCACGTTTAATTGTATCATAAATGGTGTTTTTATTAAATACTGCAAAAAAGAAATGTAAAATTACAATAATCGTATTAATGCAATGCAGTCTGCTCTAACCTTTTTTCAAACTTCTCTCTGTGCTCAAATTCTGTCTCTTCATTGTGTGTCACACTGACCTGCTAAATCATTCTTGATCATTCCAAAAGAACCAAGCGGATTAAAAGACAATTGCAAAGAAAAGCTGTGACTTGCTATAACTATTCGATTGTATTGAGAGTTGTGTATATATACTGATATTTGTGTATATATAGTGATAATAACCTAACGCAAAAAATAAATGTGATTAGCAGGGATTCCTTTCTTAAATCTGAAAAAAAAATATGTCAAGTAATTTTGATATATACGTTATACATAATTCAGAATTAAACATAATACGGTAAAAGGAGGTGCAGTAAGTTTCAATATAGATAGAGAATGGCAATCGAAGGTGCCAACTACTCGTAGAAAAAAAGTAAGTCTTCATTAATAATTAATATCAAGTGCAAGAGACACGGGTACTTTCCTTGACAAAAAAAAAAAAAAAAGTTGAGAAAAGAATAAACAAAGCAGAGTTAAAGAAAAAAAATCTATTACAACTACTCTCCAATTATTATATTATATTTCATTAATGATAACAGTAATATAATTTTAGTATCACTTTTTTTTTTTTTCGTTTTCCCTGCAGCTCCATTTTTTTTTTTTTTTTTTTTTTGTTATCTGGCTTCAAGAAAGAAAAAGGGCACTACGAAAGGGGGAAGTAAAAATGTGGAATACTATGTCGCTTTTGTAATATCTGCAAATTTTATTTAAGATGACACTATAGCATTTGAAAGTCACGGTGCATTTTGATACTTTACGGAGGAAATTTTCTGGGGGTATGCATGTATTTCTTTGCATGTACATATACATATAAAGTTGACCATTCTTATAAACTGTTCACTTTGTGCACGACACAGTCCTTAGCGTTTCCAACAACTCCGACGCGATCCCCGGTAGGCCTAGAGCTCGCCCTGACACCAGACGAGGGAAGGGAGAGGACTCGCACACATTCCTGCCGTCAGCCTTGTAATGTTTGTCTGTTCTGACGCTGACATTTGGCTTCTTCGGGATGCGGGATACTTTAGGGAGGGAAATGGAGGTTCCAGGATGATGAAAAGATGACAATTGGCGTGACAGGAGGTGTGTTTCGATTGATGTCCTTTTCCTAAAGATGGAATTGGTGCGATATCTATTAAATTCATGTAATTCGTAAAAATTGTCAGTCACTACGATCATTTAGATAAAAAAACTACACTTCTTTCAACTTCCCGACGATCAACCCTAACATTTTGACGCGTTCGTTTAGTTCCGTCGCAATGCAATCGAAGTGAAAGAATGGGACCCTCCTTTATTTCCTTCAAAGATATATGATCTCTTTTCTGCTAATCTTATTTTCCTTCGTGCGTCTCAGACTAATGTGATAGTCCTCTGTCGCTAACCCAATTCATTTCCTTTGATGAGATAATAACTTATTCCACATCTTGCTCGTACGTCTTCTTTCGGAAAGTTATTCTTCTGACTGAAGTCATCATCGGATTATTTCCTGAGGCGCAGACATCGTAAGGAATTCATACCGGCTCCTCGAAGATGAAAATCACGCCAAAATTTGTATGTGCGTTTGTGTGTTGTTGTGTGTGTGTGTGTGTGTGTGTGTGTGTGTGTGTGTGTGTGTGTGTGTGTGTGTGTGTGTGTGTGTGTGTGTGTGTGTGTATGTGTCTATGTAATAATAAATTTCTAGTAAAAAGGCATTTCCATTCCTTTATGAACGTATAAAAGGCTCAGCTACGTTGATCTTGGGAGGTCAATAGATGTGCTTTTTAAAGTCAAATAATTCTACGGGATGACACCAGAGGAAGAAGATTCACTCTCTCGCATCACTTCAGTCACAGGAAAGGAAAATCCGTTTCCACTTTCTCTATTACATGTGTAGTTTTTAATTTATTATGTACGACATATATATAATATATATATATATATATATATATATATATATATATATATATATATATATATATATATATATATATATATATATATATATAATATATATATATATATATATATATATATATATATATATGCCTGAAGCAGTCATGTAGTTCATATCCAATGAAATTACATTAAAAAATGTGATGTATGCAACTCTGATAAATTCTTAATAGAAATGAATTTTCATTTCCTTATTTACGTATAAAGGGCTCAGCTACGTTGATAGTGGAAGACTATCAATAGATTTGTTTTTGCAAAGATACGGGATACCACCGAAAAAATCCAATTTACAGCACTGCATTAGGCAAGGAGAAGAAAGGAGCGTGAAGGGGAGTGTGGGAGGTGGAGATAAGTAGCAAAGGAAAGAGAGTGAGAGAGAGAGAGAGAAACGGGTAAGATGCAGCACCCTGATTATCGTATTACATAGTTGCAGAGCTTTATAAACCATACAAACATGAGCTTCTGCATACTCAAGACTATGGGCTACGAAAACACCAATAAAAAGGCATCATCAGCCTTGCCAGCTCTTCGAAGGGCTGAATGGTGATGCCGTTTTTTGCACAAATCGTCGATTCGCTGATTTATGTGTTACGTGTTGACCTGGAGGGCTCCCTGCTGAGAGGCCGCGCGCTAGAAGGAGCCAGTTGCTAATATTTATAGACAGTCTGTTGCATATGAATATTTTCAAGATACAATAACAACTGCGGGTGAACACCTTTTCTTGAGAATTCAGAAGGCACTCGAACGCCGGCAGTGATCGCAGGAATTTAAGGAGGAGGAGGAGGAGGATTGCCAAAGGCTGAGATGGAGAAATTTCTCTCCATCAGTGAGGTTTAATGAGGTTTCCGAAGACCACGCGAGTCCTTGGGTTTAAGGAAGTTAAGGGCATAGTAGACTTTGATTCCCCCCCCCCTTATGTTCTGGCTTGTCGCCTCCCCTCCCTAAATGACCACCTTCCCACGATACAACTTTCTCCATCTCAAAATAAAGTGAAATCATCGTTTTCGCGATGTTCCGGTCTTTTAGCGACCCCCCCCCCTACACACACACACACACAGTCAGACAGGGAGAGGAAGGGAGGTGAAGGCAACTTTTTCTTCGACTGTTTCAGAATAAATGCATAAATCTAGCTTAGAGTTACAAGGATAATGTATT